ATCATATTCCTTATTGACTTTTGTAGCGTTGAGGGCTGGATTTCACTTAAAGGGAATTCAATACCGTGATTTTCTGTTTTTGTCTAACACACGCACGACATAGTATTTTAGACGTGTTTTTTGCCAAACATACCAATTGATCTAATGAAGCCATAAGAATCTGAATTCTAAAAACAGATTTGAATTTGTCGTCAAGTCTACTTGAAATCGACATTCCCTTATTTTTGATATTATCCCCCAAATTTTTTAAAATGTCATATTCAAAAAAGTGTTTAAAAATTCTGGTATTTCAATTTTTGGAGAAGTTAAAATCAAAAACGTGGGAAAGTCGAATTCAAGTAGACTTGACGACAAATGCAAATCTGTTTTCAGAAATCTTATCGCTTCAATAGATCAATTGGAATGTTTGGCAAAAAACACGTCTAAAATACTATGTCGCGCGTGTGTTAGACAAAAACAGAAAATCACGGTATCGAATCCCCTTAAGGGGGCTCCAGCGTATCATGTTTTAAGGAGTAATATTTAGGCAATTTACATAACGTGAACCATTTGGGCTATGTCTATGTGTGAGTAGTAAATGAACATTAGTGTGGGTAATCCATTATCGCGTGCCTAGGACTATCGGTTGACAGTATTACGAATTCCCAGAACTACGTATAATTAAATTGCTATAAAAATGACAATATATAATGTTCAATCGCACACATTATTTTAGATTCTGAGTGAAACGATGAATGTATTGATTTTACAATGATGTGTGTTTTTTTTTTTATTTTTTTTTTTTTGTGTCTGTGTACACGATTAGTAGTCGAAAGAGTGCTTCGATTTTCAACTTCAGTAACTTGTTCGATGGGAAAGTGAATCTAGTTGGTACTTTTGGAAGGTCAAAATTTAAAATTCCCAATAGTTTTCACAAGCGACAAGATTAACAAAAGAAAAATTAAGGAAAAACGGGAATTTTTACGCAAAATCGATTTTTCACAAAATTGAATTTGGATTTTGGTGTAACTTTAAAACAAATGACCGTAGACACTTGAAATTTTCACTGGTTGTTTATATTTGCATTTTCTATACACTATAACATTTTCAAAATATTTTGATTTATTTTGAACTGTTTAGGGACATTTTCATTTTCCATTTTTTTTTAGTTTTTTTTCTAAAAATATCAATAAAATTTTATTTGTTGGTTGCGAAAGCTTGAAAATTTAATAGAAGGCTCCTAAAATATTGCTTCAAAGGCAGATGAAAAATATTAAAAATCCTTGGTCACAAATTTTTTTTATAAGCATTTAATTAAAGTTCGAAAATTGACAAAATATGGAAAAATCACGAAAATTAGCAAATTATTTTGAGTTAAGAATTCGTAAAAATGTTTCTTTTTAAATCTAAAATTTGAAAATGTAATACATGATTCCTCATGAGATTATCTACCTTTATAAAAAAAAAAAAATTTCTATAAGAAAGTCAAATTAAATTTTTATAAAATTTTATTTGTTGGTTAAAAAAACTTGAAAATTTAATAAAAGGCTCCTAGTATATTGTTTCAAAGGCAGATGTAAAATATTAAAAATCGTCTTCACAGTTTTTTTTTATAAGCATTTAAAGTTCAAAAATTGACAAAATATGGAAAAATCACGAAAATTAGCAAATTATTTTGAGTTAAGAATTCGTAAAATTTTTTCTTTTTAAATCTAATATTTTAAAATGTAAAGGCGCGTCCACACTATGCCGATATATGCCATATGGCTTTGCCAAATGGCAAAATCAGATGCCAATGCCAACTGCCATTTATTGTGTCCACATTGTAAATTCAGTATACGTGCGGCTATCAGTCAACCACGATGTGTGCCGACGACGACTTGCTTATTGCTGCCGCAGCTGTAATTATAATCGACCAAAATGATAGAAAAAAAGCTAGAAAATCACGGAAACGACGATTTTGGGTACGTCCGAGCTTAAAAAGTGGTAGAGCTAAGTACAGTGCCAATAATTTTATGAATGATTTAATTTTGGACGAAGTAGACAAATTAAATCTGGAGTACCGATGTGGAACTGGTTTCCGGAATTTTTTCCGAATGACGAGCAGTGACTTTGAGACTCTCCTTAGTTTGATTGGCCCGAGAATCACCAAGATGGACACCACATTTAGAAAAGCTATTCCTGTTAATGAACGGCTTGCTGTAACATTGCGGTTCCTAGCAACAGGAGATTCCTACCATTCTTTAATGTACATGTTTAAAATTTCGAAGCAAGTAATTTCAGCCATCGTTCCAGAAGTTTGTGATGCTTTGATCAACGCTTTGCAAGATTATATTAAGGTAAGAAAATCAGTCTCTAAAGTATTTGAATACAAAAAATACATATTTGTTGTCAAAATATGTACTATTTAAACATTCAAATATGTTAAATTTTTTAATACTTTAAATATAATAATTTTAAAATTCTTTAAACAAAATAATTTTAAAACTAAGTATTACAAAATATTTAATCTCAATATGAAATTATATGCTTATGTAACAATATGCCTATAATATATCTTAAAATTAGAAAGCATTGAAGCGACATAGTTACTGCTATAGGCATTTTTGGGCCGATATTTTTACTTATAAAATTATCGTTGGTCTAAAAATAAATGTGTAAAATATTTACCTCTTGGCCCTCCTGACAGGTGCTCGAACAGTTTGAGAATAATTAAACAGTTTGTATATAATTAAACTATAAAAATATACTTGTATTTGTAATTAAATACTTTGTAAGTATTCGTAAAATACGTTTTTATTTAAGTATTTTTAACAATTTTTAATATGATACTAGTGTTAGTATTTTAATACTTATTCAGTAGTATTTTTTACATGACTGAAGGAAAACTACAAATCATTTGAAGGTAAAAATATATTTATTAATTAAATATAATTACATTTCAAATAAAATATTATCAAATGAATCATTATCACTATTAACTGGCCCATCCATGTATGAAGCGGAGCTCACAGTTGTACCTGGTCCATCTGTGAAAGAAGCAGGGCTCGTCATTGGTGTAGATACTTGGCTAGTGTTGGGAAAAGGTGAACGGATTGAAGGGTTACTAGAAGTTTGACTTCCGAAAGGGGGGTACATAGGTACACTGTAGTTTGGTGGCTGTGAGTAGAGGTGGGCTCCTGGGTATAGCTGTGTAGAACTGTTAGGTGGATAATCATATTTCCCCATCTCAGCGTCAAATAATACAGTACTAATTATTTGTCTCACAACTTTTTTACTATACGGCGTATTGAGACCACTTATTTGCATACCTACTTGCTCTCCAAATAAGGTATATTGGTTTTTCACAGATCTACTCCCTTGTATGTCTTTCATGATAGCGAGTGCTTCATCTGTTGCTGAATACTTTGCTTTATTTTGATTTCTTGAGGAGTTTAATGACCGCTTTTTCACTTGGGATGTGGATGTTGATTGAATTGATACATCGTCATCGTTTTCCACTACTTTCTGATCGATTTCATTAGGCTCAGTAGTCATGATATCCAATGGGTCCTTAAAAGTTTATTAGATGAAACATTTTAAGTTAACAAAATAATGTTTATAACTTAAATAAATAAATCGATAACAGTATTAATAATATAGCGTTAACCAAGTCAGCCCTCGATATTTTTTATAATTATTGTAAGCAAAACTTATGGACAACCTTGTATAAAATTTTAAAGTATATTGACTCGGTAAAAAAAATAATAGTTCAAAATAATATATAATAATAAATAATAAATATTAAATATTATATTATTTGAATTAGGTATAATAATAATTATAATAATTATTATAATTAGGTATTAGGTATTTGAATGTGTATTTCGTTTTAGATGCCTGAAAATGAATCGGAATGGAAAGAAAAAGCAAATGAGTTCAATGAGAAATGGAATTTTCCAAACTGCGTCGGCGCTTTTGATGGAAAGCATATAGCTGTGCAGGCACCAATTAACAGTGGAACTGAGTATTTTAACTACAAGGGTTTTTTTAGTATCGTTCTTTTTGCAGTTGTAGACGCGAACTACAATTTAACTTATGCAAATATTGGCTGTCAAGGCCGAATTTCGGATGGAGGTGTATTTAATGAAACTAAATTCAAAAAAAGTCTAGAAGATAACACAATGAATTTACCCAGCCCTTGCAAACTTCCTGGAAGAAATAAATCTACACCATTTGTTTTCGTTGCTGATGATGCGTTCCCTCTCACATGCAATATTATGAAGCCATACGCCGGGACACAAGAAAAGGGTTCAATGAAAAGAATTTTTAATTACCGACTTAGCAGAGCTCGTAGAGTTTCTGAGAACACTTTCGGAATTATAAGTTCTGTTTTTCGCATACTTAGAAAACCAATATTGTTGGAACCAAAAACTGCTAAAAAGGTTGTATTGGCCATAGTTTATTTACATAATTTTCTACGAAAACACTCTAAAACACTTTATAATCTCAATGGAGCATTTGATGTGGATAGCTCAGTCACATATCCAACTGATTCAGGAGACGGGCTCAACAATATTGCTAGAGTTCCCAGAAGAAGTGCAACCGATGCCCAAGAAGTTAGAAATGAATTGGCCGAGTATTTTATTTCACCACAAGGACGAATATCTTTTCAATATGACTAAACATCTGAACTAGTGTTTATGTAAAAGTATAGTGTATTTGAAAATTGTATGTTTTTAATATTTATAATTAATAAGGTATACTGATATGATCACGTCTATATTTAATCTTATTATTATTATTATCTGATTATTTTGACTAATTGTATCTATAATTGTCTGGTTATAATTATCTTGTTATAAATATAGATTGTTATACAAATAGACTGCTAATCGACAAAATAACAACAATTATATATATAAATAATAATAATAATAATAATAATAAATTATATATTTTGTTCATTTTTCATACAGAAACACGGAGTGCAGAGTTTATCTCTCACCGTAGCACACGACGTGATAAATAATAATTCTAATTTAAAAAAAAAACTTCATTACCTGTGTGTCTGTCATTTCTTTAGGGCGATTTCTGTCTTTCAGAAAGAGCATACTCTCATAAGCAAACCATTTGCTCTTGTAAACTTCTTCGGTTCCACCACCAGATTTTACGCTGTCTTTTTCTTTTTTAATTTCCCGTGAAAGATGACACAGCAAATTTTTCAATTTTCTTTCAATTTCGTCTTTTTCTACGCCAAAACTAACGGCAATTTCAATAAAAGCATCGTGTCTTTTGTTGCGATCTTTATAATCTTTTAATTTACAATCCCAAAGAACGGGACGACTGTGATACAATTCTATCAATGTCAAAACTTTTTCATTCGACCACTCCATATTTAATAAAATGAAATACGAAAATAAAAACGAAATAACATGCACTTAGTACAATAGTCGATTGTCAACTGGCTATAGAAAGCCAACGGCATTGCCAACGTTGGCACGTCCGTACTTCATTTTGCCATTTGGCTTTCTTTGATCCTGACCGACAGTCGACGGATACGGTTTGGCATGCCAGTTGGCAAAACTTTGCCAAATGGCTTGTGCCAACAAAAAGTCCACATCACCCTTGGCAATGCCATTTGGCAAAGCCATATGGCATAGTGTGGACGCGCCTTTATACAAGATTCCTTATAAGATTATCTACCTTTATCAAAAAAAAAATGTCTATAAGAAAGTCAAATTAAATTTTTATGAGCGTTTGAAATTCAAATTTTTACAACATTGGATATTCACTCGATTTCTCATGTAGCGATTTCCTTATTTTGTTGTAATTCAAAAACGAATAACTGTAGATACATAAAAATTTCACTGAATGTTTATATTATCAATTCTTATACTTGATAAAATGTTCAAAATATTTTGACTCTTTTTGAGCTATTTACGGACATTTACCGCTTTCAATTTTTTTAGTTTTTTTTTCTATAAATATGAATAAAGTTTTATCTGTTGGGCAAAAAGTGAAAAAATGTAATACAAGGCTCCTGATATATTGTTACAATATCAGTTGAAAAATATTAAAAATATATATGCACAGTTTTTTTTTATAAGCATTTAAAGATCGAATTTTGACAAAATTTATCAAAATCTCGAAAATTATCAATCATTGTAATTAATAAATTATAAAATGTTCAGTTTTTCTAGCTAAGGATTGCAAATTTAAAATAAATGTTCTCATAAATAGTTCATACTGTAACCAAAAAATCTAAAAAATATATGAACACAGTTATTTTTTACAGACATTTTAAATTCAAAGTTGGACGAAATTACATAAAAAAAAACTTAGGGGTTTCAAAAAAAATTGAGGTGAGGCTGAACCCTGACCGCAACTACTGTATATAAAATATAAATAATAAATGTACTCAATATTATTATTTAAAAATCGTGACTAAATAATTATTACATCAAATTAGTAACTATCGAGGAGAACTAATAAGTATCTATGTATATTGTATACACTATATATACATTATGAAGTTACATCATTTCTAGAGTTCTTAATCTATATATTCTGTTGTTTTAATTTTTGGAAATAATAATAGTAGATAAATCATACTAATTATTGTTTTTCATTAGTCATCACTCATCAGTCAACACCATAGTAAATTCACAAATAAACCATTAAACCATTTTATTTTGTTTTAACTTTTTATGCTATTAATTAGTATCTATTCTATTAATATAGTTTAGGTACGAGGTTTTGTTTTTATATAAAATGTAATAATCTTTAAACTCTTTATTTTAAAAAGAAAAAGGTGAGCAATTGGGTACCGCTCTGCTGTACATTAGGTGTAGGTCACTGTAATGTAAATGTTAAATTTGAATTCAATGAAGGTAAAAATCATTGTATACGAAAAACGATTCTCGGAGAAGACGATCTGTCAGCTTAATATATTACTATAAGGACCGTTCATTAACGCTAACCGACTGATAACAGATTTTATTACCGGCAGAATTCGGCGGGTTAAATGTCGGTTAACTTTAACCGGACATTGTAAGAACGGCCCTAAATATATTTTTAATATTGCAATTAAAGTAATTTGTTTTACTATTAGGCATTATTAATTAAGTATGTACATTTAATCTTTTCCTAAAAAATTGAATTTGAAAATGTCATTGTGTGTATAAAACATAATATATTTAAGGTATAGGTACCTACTCTAAAAGTTTCAAAGAAATAACTTTGTCATATATATTTTTAATTTGTAGTTTCTGTATAAAATATTTTTACAATAAGCACAATAAATGGAGGGATACTTTATTGGCTTGATTGGCTTGTTGAAGAAACTATTCAGTAATAGGAAAGTCATACCTCATAAGTTATTTTCCGTTTAAATATCTAATTTTTTCCAAATTTGAACTTCAAAAAAAAAGGTTTTTATATAATTTTTAAATTTGTTGGTTACACTATGAAATACTTAAGAGAGAATCCATGATATAAATTTTTAATCCATAATTATAAAACCCAATAACACCTTTTTTACCCACCTAACGAACACATTTGTATTGATTTAATAAAAAAAAAAATGTTATGTGTTATGCCTTATAAATAGCTCAAGAGTCAAAATATTTTGAAAATGCTATCATAGAAAATGATAAAATCAACATTTGGGTGAAAATGTCAAGTAGTATTTACGGTTATTCGTTTTTTCATTACAACAAAATAAGGAAACCGTTTGATGAAAATTAGTTAATTTACTGGTGAAAATTAATTTGACTTTCCAGTAAACTTTTATTTCTAATTAACTGCAACTTATGGGGAACCTTGTATTACATTTGAAAGTATCTTGATTGAGCAACAACTCAAAAATAGTCTAAATATTTTTAAAATGTTATCGTGTATCTATGGTTTTTTGGTTTTCCCCACCATTTTGAAAACTTCTAGGAATTGTTTACTTATTAGTTATTACCAACTAGATTTACATTACTACTATAAAAGACGTATAAAATCGAAGCATTTTACTGCCCCGAAAGTTGATGACAGACGCACAAAAAAAAAACACACATCATTGTAAAATCGATACAGTTATTGCTCAACTCAAAATCTAAAATGTTCATATAGCAATATAGTATCATAAGAGCAACGTAAATTCGGAAGCCTTTGTTCGATGGTTCCCTTCCTCGAGTAGAACGGGTTGAACGTCTGGATGCAGACGTAACTAAGCAAGGACACGCGCTCGTACAGGTCGTCTGGTCTGAGTGGAAACCACAGTTCGTGGAAACACGTAGTCGTCGTCGTCATCGTTGGTAATCGTCGGTCGGCAATATAATTTTTTTTCTCGGAATATATTATTTCCACTGAGTGGCTAGTCGCTAGTAATTTGTTTCTCTGAAATAATTAGTATCTAAAATTATCGTTTATAGTTTCCCTGGCCAATGAAGCTCGTAATTTACACGATATGTGCCTATACAAATTACCAACTATATTAAAAATATTAAAATAACTTCGTAATCTCCTCGTTACACGCATAACCTATAAATACTACCAATAATACTGTCATAATGGAGGCTTCAGGCTTGGTATTTGTTCAGTCTTGGTCAGTAAGGTCTGCCGAAACTCTGGCTTATTTTATTAATAATGAGTTTTTAGTACAAAAAATATGTTTCGAAATAATACTATGGGTTGCTTATAATTATACGTTTCTAAAATACACTGCGCCACGGCCGGTGGTTTAATAAAATAATAAAATACTTGTTTTTAATATTAACAACCATAATGATAGTGATAAATATGTATTATTCCATCACCAGTTGGTGACGCACGGAATATACCAAACAATATTTATAAATTATTTATTTATTTATAAACTACCTAACTATAGTTAATAATAAATTAAAATATTTTATTATCTTAGATGATTTATGTATAGTATAATTTAATTTAAAAATCACTAGTTTACAGTACATAATATTGGTATGTGATAAGTGATAACTAATATTTTATAATATTGTAAGTTGTTGTTATTCTTCAACTGTTGATTATTATTTGTTATTGTAAAACTGTTAAAGTTGTGTATTTTGAATCAAAAATAATATGTAACAGAATTTCAAAATTGTTTAACTTAAAAAATGTTTGGTTAAATTATGAGTTATGACGTAGGTACCTAGATTTATATTTTAATGTATTTTTATATAGTACGATATAACTGATATAAGTACTCATATACCTACATATTATATTGTGCTGTACAACGGGGTTCACACTACTAAATCAGTCGTACGTTATACACAATTACACAAAATTATCATCACTACCTATTAAGAGGATATCAGCATATAATCTGTTTTCTCTTCCTGATCCTCAAGCAACATGAAAAATTTGGGTTCAGCAAAACCAACTTTGTGTTGCTAACTTTAATATTAGGCTGAATTAACCTATCATAAAACTTAAAACAAAAAACATTATCTGTGTTCTTACGTTAGATTTTCTACGATAGTTATTATATTATAAAGCAAAATATAATAATTTTTAAAATGTACAAATTTGACATACTTGCATACAATATTGAAGTAACGTTAACATACCAACACAAATAATGTTCTTAAATGTAAGTTTGTTAATACATCAGTTCCCTCAAACACGAAAGCCAACAATGAAAGGTTGGTTCGAAATTTTGCAATGTAACGCGTGAGTTCAAGAGAGAGAGAGACAGAAAACAAATAGTGCACATTAATATCCCCTTAAATAGTTATAGTTAATTATATAACTTATAGAATAATTGTCTAATCAGTAGTCCAATGCAGTCTAGAGCTGTTTTGTGTACTACATTAATATAATACACAGATATAGAAGTTAGTAATTACTAATGTATAAATCAATAATGTACAGGTCCTCTCTCGTGACTCAGTTTTTAGAGCAAACTATTTTATGACGTGGTAATATTATATAAAAGAGCTATCACCATGAATTTACGTAAAAGAACTAATTATATTGTTAAATTGGCTCAACAATAAAATTGTAATGCAGAAAAAGAAAACACCAGTTCATCAGAGTATGATGACCTTATCCCAAATAAAAATTTAAAAAAAAGGTGGGCAAGTGGGTGTCACTCTGCTGTACAGTAGGTTACAAGTGGGTCACTGTATAAAGGATGATATTAAATTCAACGATATAATATCATTGTATAAGAAAAACGATTCTGAGCAGAGACGGTATGTCAGTCTAGGTATAAGACATAATATTATATACATATCTATGGTACTAAACCAAAATTTGACCTATAATAGGTACCTATAATAAATTCCAAATTAATCATATCACAATATCCATTAGGTACTTATAACGCGTTATACATCAACAAAAACCGTGATAATATCATAGATATATAATAGTACAC